TGCAACCTCCACCTCCTGGGTTCAAGCGATTCTCCTGCCTCAGTCTCCCAAGTAGCTGGGATTACAGGCATATGCCACCAGGCCCAGCTAATTTTTTTTGGTACTTTTAGTAGAGATGGGCTTTCACCATGTTGGCCAGGCTGGTCTCAAACTCCTGACCTCAAGTGATCCACCTGCCCTGGCCTCCCAAAATGCTGAGATTACAGGCATGTGCCACCCCGCCCAGCCCATAAATTTTTTTAAAAAAAGAATTAACATGAATCCTTCATAAACTCTTTAAAAAAACAGAAGAGGTGGCAACACTTCTGAACTCATTCTATAAGGCCAGAACTATCCTGATACCAAAGTTAGACACTGACATCAGAAAAAAAGAAAACTAGTCCAATGTCCCTCATAAATATGAATACAAAAATCATCAAGAAAATACCAGCAAACTGAACCCAGGAACATATAAAAAGAATTACACATCATGACTAAGTGGAATAATTCCAACACTGCAAGACTGGTTCATTTTGCAAAAATAAATTAATACAGTATACCATATATTAACAGAATAAAGGACCAAATATGCACAATTATTTCAATAGACATAAAACAGGCATTTGACAAAATTTAACACCCTTTCATGATTAAAAAAAAATACTCAACAAACTAAAAATAGAAAGGAATTTCTTCAGCCTGACAAAGGACAACTACTCTAAACCCATGGCTAACATCATATTTCATGGTGAAAGACTAAAAGCTCTCCCTCTAAGGTCAGGAACAAGAGAAGGATGTCTGTTCTCATCAGTCTATTCAACATTGTACTGAAGGTTCTAGCCAGGGTAATTAAGCAAGAAAAGGAACTAAAAGACATCCAGAATTGAAAAGAAAGCACTAAAACTACCTGTTTGCAGGTGGTATTATCTTGTATATAGAGAACCCTAAGGAATCCACAAAAAGCTATTAACGTTAGTAAACAAGTTCAGCAAGGTTGCAGAATACAAGATCAATATATAAAAATCAATTACAGTTCCGTACACTGGCAATGAACAATCCAAAAATGAAATTAAGAAAAACAGCATTAAAAATACTCAGAAGTAAATTTAACAAATAGTTACCACTCATACCCTAAAAATTATTTTAAAATCATTGAAAAACAATTAAAGAAGACCTAAGTAAGTTGAAAGACATCTGTGTTCTTGGAGTTGAAGATTAAATAATGTTAAAGACAGCAATATTCCCCAAGTTGATCTAAAAATTCAATTCAATTCTTATCAAAATCCCAGCTGGATTTTTTGGAGAAATTGCCAAGCTGGTTCTAAAATTCAAATAAAAATGCTAGGTATTCAAAATGGCCAAAACAAAGAACAAAGTTGGATCACTTACACTTCTCAATTCGGAACTTAAAAACTATAATAATCTAGAGTTATCAAGTATGAGTAATCAAATACGGTGTGGTACTGGTACAAAGATAGACAACTAGATCAATGCAAGATGTATATGCATTGATCTAAAAGTATAGAAATATATTTTATGGTCAATTTTCAACAAGTATAACAAGAAAATTCAATGGGAAAAATAGTCTTTAACAAATGGTACTGGAACAAATGGATATCTACATGCAAACGAATAAATTTGGACCCCTATCTCATACCATATATAAAAATTAACTAAAAAATAAATCAAAGGCTTATATAAGAGCTAAAACAATAAAACTTGAGGCTGAGGTGGGAGGATTACGTGAGCCCAGGAGTTCAAAACTAGCCTGGGCAATATGATACCACAGCTCAAAAAAAAAAAAAAGAAAAGAGAAGAAAAAAGAAAGTGAAAAGATAAACAATGAATGAAAACATTTGGAAATCCTACATCTGATAAGAGCCAAGTATTAGAATACATAAAGAACTCTTACAACTCAACAATAAAAGCCCAATAACTCATTTAAAAAATAGACAAAGGATATGAAAACATATTTCTTAAAAGAAGATATACGAATGGCCAATAAGCACATGAAAAGATGCTCAACATCATTAATCATTAGAGAAGTCTAAATCAAAACTAAAATGGGATACCATGTCACACTACGAGGTCATAATTTTAAAAAGACACATAATGACAAGTATTGGCAAAAATATGAAGAAAACGGAACCCTTATAAAGTGCTGGTATGAATGCAAAGTGGTGTAAAATAAATTGGAACAGTTTGGTAGTTCATTAAAAAGTTAAACATAAAGCTACCATATGACCTAGCAACTCCACTCCTAGGTATATACCTAAAAGAACTGAAAACATTGGCTGGGCACGGTGGCTTACACCTGTAATCCCAGCACCTTGGGAAGCAAAGGCAGGCAGATCACGAGGTCAGGAGATCGAGACCATCCTGGCTAACACAGCGAAACCCCACCTCTACTGAAAATACAAAAACTTAGCCGGGCATGGTGACACGCGCCTGTAGTCCCAGCTACTCGGGAGGCTGAGGCAGGAGAACTGCTTGAACTTAGGAGGCAGAGGTTGCAGAGAGCCGAGATTGTGCCACTGCACTCTAGTCTGGGTGACAGAGCAAGACTTTGTCACAAAAAAAAAAAGAAACTATATGTCCACACAAAACTTGTATACAAATATATAGAGTAGCATTATTCATAATTATGCATAAAGTAGAACTATCCCAAATGTCCATCAACTAATGAAAGAATAAACAAAATGGAGTATAGCCGTACAATGAAATGTTCTTCAGCAATAAAAAGGAATGAAGTTCTCATATATGCAATAGTATGGATGAATACTGAAAACATTATGCTAAATAAAGGAAACCAGACACAAAGGCCATATATTATCAGATTCCATTTATATGGAATGTCCAGAATAGGTAAATCCATAGAGACAGAAGATAAATCAGTGGTTGCCAAGGACTAGGGGAAAGAGAAAGTAGAGAGTGAGTACTAATAGGTAGGAAGTCTCTTTCTGGGGGTGGTAAAAAAATGTTTTGGAATTATACAGTGGTGATGATTGCACAACCTTGTGAGTATATTAAAAACCATGGAATTGTACACTTTTAAAAGGTGAATTTTATGGTATCTGAGTTATAGTTCAATAAAAAATTTTAATTTATTTGTTTTTTGATACAGGGTCTCACTCTGTTGCCTAGAGTGGAGTGCAGTGGTGGCACAATCACAGCTCACTACTGCCTTAATCTCCTGGGCTCAAGAAATCCTCCCACCTCAGCTCCCAGAGTAACCTGGGACTACAGGCATGTACCACCATGCTTGGCTAATTTCCTTTTTTTGTTTTCTTTTTTTGTTGTTGTTTTTTTGAGACAGAGTCTCACTTTGTCACTCAGGCCGGAGTGCAGTGGCGCGATCTCGGTTCACTGCAACCTCCACCTCCCAGGTTCAAGCAATTCACAGTCTCAGCCTCCCAAGTAGCTGGGATTTCAGGCATGCACCATCACGCCTGGCTAATTTTTGTATTTCAGTTTTCGCCATGTTGGTCAGGCTAGTCTTGAACTCCTGACCTCAAGTGATCCACCCACCTCGGCCTCCCAAAGTGCTGGGATTACAGGCGTGAGCCACCATGCCCAGCCATATTTTTAAAATTATTTTTGTAAAGATGAGATCTCACTATATTGCCCAGGCTGGTCTCAAACTCCTGGGCTCAAGCAATCTTCTCACCTTAGTCTCCCAAAGTGCTGGGATTACATGTGTGAACCCACCATGCCTGGTCTCAACAAAAATGTTTGAGTAGAACTGAAAAACTGAAGACTTCAAAGAAAGAATGATAAAAGTTACAACACAGTAAAATGTATTGGCTCAATGAATCCACTTTTTCTAGTCAGTCTCCACAGTTATCATACTACCTATATGGCTGTAAGATGTTTAATTCTTGACATTCTACTATAAGTAATTTAGAACACGTTATACACCTTATTATAGTATCAAGGTATCAACGTTGGCTCATTAAAGTTTTGCAGGGCACAAACTAATTGCTTTAGTAATGTACTGAGAATCTCCACAAGGAACTAACTAGATATTCTAAAGTTGTGTTTTAATGGACTAGATTATGGAAAACTGAATATGTAAAATTTAAAGACTGCTTAGATTTAAAATTGGTAAACAATAATAATGATTACATCATTTCACTGATATGTCCCCAGAAATCTGTATTTTGCCATAATATTCAGGTCAAGAAAGAACTATCAAAATAGAAATGAATAAAAAAATAGAGAGGGAAGGAAAGGGCTAAAGTCCAAAGAAAATTAAACACATCTTGGCTAAACAGCTGTGTTGAAAAACAATTTCTTATCTTGCAATTAAGAACCGATTTCTTTCTGAAAGACACAGGACATTGGGTTAATAGATTTCTTTAAAAGAAAATCTGTTTTGGCTATTGAAACATTAAAAGAACAGAACATCTGTTTTGCAAGTAAAGACAGATTGTGCAAAAGAATCAAATATCAAACCACCGATTAGACTAGCATTTAATCTGTTCTATTTAAATTTTCAATAAAAGTGAAGTTCAATTCTTGAAATTATAGTTCAGCTAAAAATATTTAACCCCAGGAACACTTAACACTGAAATAATCTTAGAGTATAAATGAGGTAATTATTAGCATATTTTAATTATTTTTAATTCTACTTGATATCTATATCAAAACCAGGTTGTAAAGCACTATATACTCTAAAAATCATTTAAAAAGTATTATAAAAGGGAAAACTCACCATCCATGAATTCTGTACATATTGAAATCCTATTTTCTACAAAAAATGCTCCATAAAATCCAATGATATATGATGAATCACACTGTAACAAAAATAAGACAAAAGTAGTTATAAACCTGCAAGTCAATAACATAGGCATGCTTTACAAATAAAAATTATGAAAAAAATTACCTTATAAAGAATTTCCAATTCAGACATAATTTGCTTCTGAAGTTCCAGTGTAATATCTAGTAGTATGACCTAAATATAGAAAGGTATTAATATTTATTCACCTTCTAATTATATTAGCTATAATCACTATGAAATATAAGAACTAAAAAAATGGTAGTTTCTTTATTCTTCCCCACTTCCTTCTTCTTACCACTATAATTCCCAGTAATACAAACTGTATCTGCATCTGTCTAACCTTTTGTCCTTCTGAACTGGGGGAGGTGGTACAGAAGTGATTGATGGGACCAAAGAAAAAAGCCAGGTCTCAAAGGTCAACAGTAATGGCTTTAAAAGTCAGTTAAGTTATAACACTCTTAATTTATGCACTCTATTTTGGCCACGCTGGCTATTTTCAAAAGAGGAACATAGGAATGACCCTCAAACCAATATAAAAGAATTGTCTTGGCCGCGTGCAGTGGCACACGCCTGTAATCCCAGCACTTTGAGAGGGAGGTTGAGGTGGCAAGGTACCTGAAGGCCAGGGGTATATGGCCAGCCTAAGCACCATAGCAAGATCCCATCTCTACAGAAAAAAAAAAAAAAAAAATTACCTGGGTATAGTGTGATCAGGTGGTCCCAACCTACTTGGGAGGCTGAGGTGGGAGGATCACTTGAGCCCAAGAATTCGAGGCTGAAGTGAGCCATGATTGTACCACTGCACTCTCACCTGGGTGACAGAGCGAAATCCTGTCTTTTAAAAAAAAGAACTATACTGTGATCAGACACTAGGCAATAAGCAGAGAGGATGATGAATAAAAATGACATTTTATTTATTTAGTGACACAGTCTCATGCTGTCACTCAGGCTGGAGTGCAGTGGGGCAATCTTGGTTCACTGCAACCTCTGCCTCCTAGGCTTAAACAAACCTTCCAACCTCAGCCACCGAGTAGCTGGAACCACAGGCGTGCCACCATGCCCAGCTAATTTTTTGCATTTTTGGTAGAGATAGGGGTTTCATTATGTTGCTCAGGCTGGTCTCAAACTCCTGAGCTCAAGTAATCTGCCCACCTGAGCCTCCCAAAGCACTGGCGTGAGCCACCACACCTGGCCAAAAAATGACTTTTTTTTTCTTGAGACAGAGTCTTGTTCTGTTACCCAGGCTGGAATGTGGTGCCACGGTCTCTGCTCACTGAAACCTCTGTCTCCTGGGTTCAAGCAACCTGTCTCCTGGGCTCAAGTGATTCTCCTGCCTCAGCCTCCCGAGTAGCTGGGATTACAGGCGCCTGCCACCACACCCGGCTAATTTTTGTATTTTTAGTAGAGATGGGGTTTCACCATGTTGGCCAGGCTGGTCTTGAATTCCTGACCTCAATGATCCGCTCACCTCAGCCTCCCAAAATGCTGGGATTACAAGCGTAAGCCACCATGCCCAGCCAAAAATGACATTTTAAGTGGGGTTTTTAGTTATGAGAGAAATAAGGAGTTTTTAAAATATATTATCTTTTTTTTTTCCCCCTAAGTCAGGTAATGTTCTTTGCTGATACTGTTATAGAAAGTTAAAGCTTAAAGAAATCTTATTTCATTAACTCCCTTCTTTTGAGTGAGGAGAAAACCAGGTTTCCTTCCCAGGAGCCACAGAGCCTGGGAATGGTAGGACTCCCTCCTCTGGACTCAGTCTCATGGGCTTTTCAGTACTTTATGGTTTATTTAAAATATCAATCACTGAGTGATATTACCCATAGTGATTTATAACCCATAAATGTAAAACATTTATAAACTTATCTAGAATAAATTCTAGTTTATTTCAAACACATATTTTTTAAAGAAAGAAGACCATACTGCTCAAATTCTACTCAGCATGTCAGTGAAAATAATTCAAGAGTAATTGTTTTATTTATTTATTTAGAGACGGAATCCTGCTCTGTTGCCCAGGCTGGAGTGTAGTGGCACAATCTTGGCTCACTGCAACCTCCACCTCCTGGGTTCAAGCCATTCTCCTGCCTTAGCCTCCCGAGTAGCTGGGATTACAGGCACTTGTCACCACACTTGGCTGATTTTTGTATTTTTAGTGCAGACAGGGTTTCACCATGTTGGCCAGGCTGGTCTTGAACTCCTGACCTCAGGTGATCCACCTGCCTCAGCCTCCCAAAGTGCTGGGATTACAAGCGTGAGCCACCATGCCCAGCTTGTTTTTACTTTAAAAAGGCAGTGAGGAGAATAAAACAGGTGGAAAACAATTTTTATGATTTGTGGCAGACTCTAGACATTTCTAGACAAAAACTTAACATTCAGAATTACTATGATAGTGTAGTTATATACCATTCGACTTTGAATTACATTTTGTATTACAACTGAAGAACATATATATAATCATACTGAAGAAAAAAACCACAAATGATGCATTGTAAACTGCTGATAGGGCAAGGAAAGAAAAGGACAATTCTAAAGTACATTTTATAGTCCTGACATTGGCCAGGTATTGATTTGGGGTAGGGGAAGGTAGGGGGAAGAAAGGCAAAGGTGGTTTCTATCCAGAGTTTGCGGCTGGGCGTGGTGGCTCACTCCTGTAATCCCAGCACTTTGGAAGGCTGAGGTGGGAGGATCATGAGGTCAGGAGATCGAGACCATCCTGGCTAACACGGTGTACCCTGTCTCTACTAAAAATACAAAAAAATTAGTCAGGGCATGGTGGCGGGCGCCTGTAGTCCCAGCTACTTGGGAGGCTGAGGCAGAAGAATGGCATGAACCCGGGAGGTGGAGCTTGCAGTGAGCCGAGATCATGCCACTGCACACCAGCCTGGGCGACACAGCAAGCCTCTGCCTCAAAAAATAAAAATAAAAAAAGTTTGCTTTGGGGTTATTTATAAAAGCTCTCAGGAAACTAGACTGTAAGTGTAATACAAAACTGCCAAGAAACATTTAAACACTTCTCCTGATCAATAGTCATTTGCCAACAATATTCACTTACATTTTTGTTCTTGTGTAAAACTTACCAACAAAATTAATTCATCTAGCGTCAGTTCAATCCTATGGCATAAAATATTACGGCTATTCCTACTATGATGACAAGTACCAGGAATCTCTCACTCTAAAAATCTCTGCTAAAAGGAGTGAAGTTATTATTGACCTTAAATCAATGGTTCTCAACCCTGGCCTCAAATCATAATACCTAGGGCACTTAAAAAAAAATTCCAAGGTGCAGGCTTTACCCCAAAACAACAGAATGAGAATCCCTGGGGTTGGGCCCACATCTTTGTTATTTTGTAAAGCTCCCCAGGTAATTCCTAATCCAAAGTAAGCTTGAGAACCATTTATTTAAGGTTTCAAAAATGCCATTTATTCAGTGCTAAGATATATGACTATTAAGATGCATTGCATCTCCAGGCCACCACCAACCTAGAAATGACATGATTCCACATTGCTAGCCAACATCATGGAATTAACCCCAAACTACTGGCTGTGAATATATCATTCCCTTAATCAAGAACCTTAATTGTGTTCCCATCACCTACAATAAAGTTAAAACTCTAGCAGGACATTCAAGGAATTCTTCCATAATACAGACAACTTATTCTAACTCCTCTTCCCACTACTCCCACCACAAACCCACCCTTCATGTGAAATCAGATGACATTTCCTGGTGTACACATATATCCTGTGCCTTCCCTACTTCCAGCCTTTGCTCCTGCTGTTCCCTCTACTTGGGGTGTGCTTCCTCTCTCCACTCCAGGCACTGACTAAAAAAATCCTGTTCTATCTTTTAGACCCAGCTTGAATGCCACCACTGCCTCCATGAAGCTCACCTCAAAGCCCTCCATCAAAATTAATGTCTAGCTCTGGCCTTCAATATGTACATTCTGCATGTATCCCTCATCTCCTAAAAACGAAGTCTCAAGATTAGAGTGGCTATGAGCCTCTCAAGGGCAAGGGCTGAGTCTTGTACATTTTTCTATCTCCCGCTCAGCACTCCACACAGGGTCTAACTCACAGTAGTGCCTAGTAAGTGATGTGGGATTTAACTAAAGTCTTTACAATTATAATCCTCTTTATAAGAAGCTGTTTCTAGACAGAAGAAATAGATTGCTTGATTTCCACAACTGAATTTAAAATGAAAAACATACACCACCAAATAAATAAAAATGCCACACTGACCTAAAATGTAGTAAGGAATACTGTATTTGTGGAGCTAATCCGCTGTACTCTAATTTGTTTTGATCATTGTTGGTATTTGCTTTAGTCTAGAATAGTGGAGATTCGAAAATGATGGAAAAAACGAATAAAGTAATTTCTGAGAACTTCAGAGGAAAAGTAAAACCCTCCTTAAAATAACTCTACTCAAATGCTCTCTATTTTCTGGGAGACTTGGCACTCTGGGTGGAAGGTTAATTCTCCTTCCCCTGGGTATTCTTGTGAGTGAGCTTTAAAACTGCTAAAAATAAACAAATCCAATTCCTTATTTGAAGGCAATGGCGAAAGCATGGCAAAGACTAATTTTCTTTTTGAAATCCAAGAAAAGTACGGACTTCCTGAGTCTTCATTATTTTTTTTCTCCTTAGGAAGTGCTAAATGTTTCAAACTGGAGAGAATTTGAATATGAAGCATTCCATGGAGAAAGGGTTAAGTGAGAAACTGAAATACCTTAGTGCATTTCCACTGCTCTCCACTACACCTCCAGGACAAATAAGGATGAGTTGTCAAGTTAAATATAAGCAGTCAAGTGACTGAATTATAATTTACTCTGTGCTCAATTTAAATTAGTGTGAGGCTATTAAAATATACAGTATAAATACGGCAATTCATCACAAGCTGTCATGGATGACTTCATTTATTTGCTGGAGTGGCACACACTTCACTAAAGGGAAAGAGAGCAAAATCACAGGTCAAATTAAGCTGCTATTCTGTTTTAATTCACTTATTTAATCTGTGGCAACATAATTGTCTTTTACAGTATGTACAACTCAGAAAGGAAATTTGGGAGGATTATAGCCAGTATACAAATGATTAATCAAATGGTCCATTTAAATGCTAGTTTAAAAGCAGCAGAAACCCAAAGCAGTCAAAGAATGATAATCAGCACATGCAATATACAA